CCATGCTCTGAAGCTTTTTTTCTCGTATATTTTGCTGTTTTTTGGTTGTTTCAGATTGAAGGATAAATCTGGGCCTTGTTACTACATCTAGGCCAAAGGCAGATGACTGTTTAGCTGATTATTTATTCATATGAATTATTGGCAAATGCTGAATTCTTAACATTCTTAAACACTTGCTAACCTACTTGTCTTATTTTATCAATTTATGTAAATCTATATCTGACAAATTTTGCATTCAAAATCTCCTGTTCTCTGTAATTCCTACAGCACAACATGAATATTAAATGGGCCCAAAGCTTTTAATCATCTTTTAATGTACTTCTTTAATGCAGGCTCTTAGTGTTAGCTAAGTAGTGATTTAGTATGGACCTCTTACTATTAAGTAGTAGCATACAATTAAAGGGCATGCACTGGCCTGATACAGCAGAACAGTGGAATGTGTCATGCTTTTAGGGCATTCCCACAGCAGGCTCAAAGATTTCCAGGAGGCGTCCATGTATGATAACTCTTATTTTCTAGCAGCTAAGATGTTAGCATCAAAGCCTGTTAGCTTGATTGAGGTTGTAAAGAACTGCTGAGCTAAGATAGGGGGAAGCATGAAGAGAAATCATTTTGTGCAGAGTATGAGAGGAAACTGCACTAAAGGATAACGCTACAAAGATGGGAGTGACATGGAACCCATTGGTGGTAAGCTGTTGGAGAAAGGGGAAAGATAGCAGAATAGAAATAATGTGATTGAAGAAATCTGGTCTTGTTTTATATGCGAGGAGCTTCTCTTTGATTTACTACATCAGAATTGCTGCAGTTTGTAGCATGTGCTTGTTGAGTATCCAAGAAAGAGGTAATTTAGTCAGAGCATACCTTGGGGAAAAGAAGATATCTGCGAGTAGTAGGTAGGGTGAAACCATCTAGTTATGTATATGAACTAAAACGGCGAAATCATATTTCTAATGGAATTTTATGTGATATGTAATAAATGATGTAAATGAATATGTAATACAGAAATGTGTAAAATCCATGTGTTAAAGTGAGTAAATCATAATTCTTTGGGGTGGTGATGATATACTATAGCTAAATAGAACTGAATAAGTTTTTGTATAGTGTATAACAATTAAACATCTTTTTAAAAAAATATAAGCCAGGCACATTGACTCATACCTGTAATCCCAGCATTTTGGGAGGTGTTGGTGAGAGAATTGCCTGAGCCTAGGAGTTTGAGACCTGCCTGAGCAACTTGGCAAGACCTAGTCTCTATAGTAAATCAGGACACTAGCCAGGAGTGGTGGTGCACGTCTGTACCAGCTGAGGCAGAAGGATTGCATGAGTCCGGCAAATTGAGGCTGTGATGGCCATGAGCCTGCCACTGTACTCCAGCTTGGGCAACAGAGTGAGACTCAAAAAAATAAAATAAAATGATTTTTTTAAAAATGTAGATTCCAGCCGGGCTCGGTGGCTCAGCCTGTAATCCCGCGCCTTTGGGAGGCTGAGGTGAGTGGATTGCCTGAGCCCGCGGGTTCGAGACCCGCCTGGGCAGCGAGACCTCATCTCTACAATTAATAAAAAAATTAGCCAGGCGTGGTAGCATGCTCCTGTAGTTCCAGCTACTTGGAAGGCTGAGCAGAAGGATCGCTGGAGCCCAGCAGGTCGAGGCTGCGGTGGCCGGGAGCGGCCACTGCACTCCAGTCTGGGCGACAGAGTAAGACTCCAACTCAAAAAAAAAAAAAAAAAAATGTAGACTCCTTGTAGATAGATGTAATGTTAATTTTCAAAGACTGAAAACCATGTGAATTGATAATATTAAAAATTCTGTTTTGAAACAAATATGATTTCAGCCTTCCAAAAGCTATGATTGTGTTTTAGTAATTAAGAAATAAATCCTGGCTGGGCTCGGTGGCTCAACCTGTAATCTCAGCACTATGGGAAGCCAAGGCGAGTGGATTGCCGGACCCCGTGAGTTCAAGGCCCGCCTGGGTAACTTGACAAGACCTCGTCTCTACAATAAATCAAAAAATAGCTGGGCGTGGTAGCTTGCACCTATAGTTCCAGCTACTTGGAAGGCTGAGGCAGAAGACTTGCCCGAGCCCAGCAAGTTGAGACTGTGGTGGCCGGGAGCGTGCCACTGCACTCCAGTCTGGGTGACAGAGTGAGACTCCAACTCAAAAAAAAGAAAGAAAGAAATCCTTAATGACTAACTGACATTTCCGTGGCATTTATCTGTGGGTGAATTTTATCAAGCATATTTTTTGTTATCTGAATAGTTTTGTTGATGCAAGTGGTACTCATTGTAAAGTATCTGCCTTTGCTGAGTTATTTTACATCTTTCTGACAAGAGTTTGTGGGGGAAAGGGAAGAATGTAAAGCAGTATCAACTTTTCGCTTTACTCAACATAAAGAAGCATAGAAAGTTTTTTGTTTTTTTTTTTGAGTTGGAATCTCACTCTGTCGCCCAGATTGTAGTGCAGTGGCCGCTCCCGGCCACCGCAGCCTCGACCTACCGGGCTCCGGCGATCCTTCCGCCTCAGCCTTCCGAGTAGCCGGAATTACAGGCACGCGCTACCACACCTGGCTCATTTTGATTTATTGTGAAGATGAGGTGTTGCCAAGTTGCCCAGGCGGGTCTTGAACCTGCGGGCTCAGGCAATCCACTCACCTCAGCCTCCCAAAGGTGCAGGATTACAGGCTGAGCCACCGAGCCCAGCTAGAAAGTTTTTCATAGTCAAAAATGTATGCTATATGGCAAAGATAAACACCCAAATCAGTAGTTATTACATCAGGGAGAAGAGGAGTAGGATGCTATTAGAGCATCCTGAAGGACATTCATTTGTATTGATAGTTTCTTTCTTTCTTTTTTTTTTTTTGAGTTGGAGTCTCACTCTGTCGCCCAGGCTGGAGAGCAGTGGCATGCTCACAGCCACCCCAGTGTCGACCTGCTGGGCTCCAGGGATCCTTCCGCCTCAGCCTTCAAAGTAGCCAGGACTACAGGCACGTGCTATCATGCCTGGCTAATTTTTGATTTGTGGAAGAGATGAGGCCTTGCCAAGTTGCCGGTGCTGGTCTTGAACCTGCAGGCTCAGGCAATTCACTCGCCTCAGCCTCCCAAAGTGCTGGGATTACAGGTTGAGCCACTGAGTCTGACCAATATTTTCTATTTTTTAAAGTAAATTTTAAAAATAAAGTTTAACATATATAGAGAAAAGTATAGACCATAATTATACAGGTTGATAAATTTTCACAAGAGGAACATACCCATATAAGTAATATCCAGATTTTATTATTTATTTATTTAATTTTTTATTTTTAATTGGAGTCTCACTCCTTCTCCCAGACTGGAGTGCAGTGGCACACTAACAGCCACCCCAGCATCAACCCGCTGGGCTCCGGTGATCCTTCCACCTCAGCCTTCCACGTAGCTAGAACTTTGACTGCCACTCCCGGCTAATTTTTTTGTTTATTGTAGAGACAAGGTCTGCCAAGTTGCCTGGGCTGGTCTCGAACCCTCAGGCTCAGGGCAATCCACTGACCTCGGCCTCCCAAAGTGCTGAGATCACAGGCTGAACCACCAAGCCTGGCCTAATATCCAAATTTTAAAACAACATTTGTTTTGGAACTGTTCAGTTTTTTTCTTCAACCTGAATAGTAGACACATAGGTGTTCATTGTGTCATTCTTTATTCTTTGTTTAAATGCTTTAAAGTTTGCCTTCTATGTTTTAAAAGATCATCTCAAAAGGAAATACAATCTTTAGACATTGGAAAATGTCAGAAAACCCAGAAGCTTTAATAGTTGAGAAAGTACTTTTGAGAAGTAATTTTTTTTCAATGTAGACCTTTGTCTCCCATGTATCTGATATACTTTATAAACCTGGTATAGGCCGCGTGACTGAAAATTTTATACTAGAAGAAGAACATAAACAGAGCTGTATGGGATCACAGTAGTAAAAATTATTAGTACTTTTTAAAACAGCACATTGTTAGCCGGGCTCGGTGGCTCAGCCTGTAATCCCGCGCCTTTGGGAGGCTGAGGTGAGTGGATTGCCTGAGCCCGCGGGTTCGAGACCTGCCTGGGCAACTGGTGAAACCTCATCTCTACAGTAAATCAAAATGAGCGGGACATAGTAGTGCGCGCCTGTAGCTCCAGCTACTCGGAAGGCTGAGGTGGAAGGATCGCCGGAGCCCAGCAGGTCGAGACTGCGGTGGCCGGGAGCGGCCACTGCACTCCAGTCTGGGCAACCGAGTGAGACTCCAACTCAAAAAAAAAAACAACAGCACATTGTGGACCTTTTATAACGAATAAAGTTAGGGTCATCAAATTTATGAGTACATAGAAATGACAGTTTTCTTTGAAAAATTTTATCACTAACATCTCAGTGATAGATGAATGAAATTAGCCTTATTCACCTTTATATGGGGTATTCAAGCTGTAGAAAGAACTAAGCTGTTATTAAGATTCAAGTTTATATCTAGTTTAAAGACTATATCTCATAGAAATCATTATATGCATAGTAGTTAGAAATATGCTTAATCTAGAGGGTTTCCTGGAATTAAATTTATCTGCTTCCCTTATGTTTTTTCCCCCTGGGTAGGAAGATACTTTTTCAGTGGACATGAAGATTTGATTTTTTTCATATAACAAGTTTTCTGTATATCTTAATTTTATGAAAAGTATTAAAACATGATTTTTCTCGATTGTTTTCAACAGTAGGTTTTTTAATTAAGTTGTGGCTGATGTACTGTGAAAAAGCCATTTGTAAAATATCTGTAAAAACGTTTGGTCATTCACTTTTTCTTCTGGTACTGGGATTATATGCATAAAATCATTAGAATATTAATGTATTGAAAACCACTCATTGAATAATTTTTGTATTTTTTACTCTAGAAGTTAATAGTACAGTGTAGGTAAATTACTGTTTCTGTTATATTTATGTATATTTTGTCTTTGAAGAAATTGTTAGGACATATTGAATTTATTGTTTGTTTGTTTTTTTCCTGATTTGCTTGACAGGCGGTGGAGGAGGAAATGGCAGGTCCTAATCAACTCTGCATTCGCCGCTGGACTACCAAGCACGTAGCTGTGTGGCTGAAGGATGAAGGCTTTTTTGAGTATGTGGACATTTTATGCAATAAGCACCGACTTGATGGAATCACATTGCTAACATTGACAGAATATGATCTCCGATCTCCTCCTCTGGAAATCAAAGTCTTAGGGGACATTAAAAGGCTAATGCTCTCAGTCCGAAAATTGCAGAAAATACATATTGATGTTTTAGAAGAGATGGGCTACAACAGTGACAGTCCCATGGGTTCCATGACCCCTTTCATCAGTACTCTTCAGAGTACGGACTGGCTCTGTAATGGGGAGCTTTCACATGACTGTGACAGCCCCATCACTGACTTGAATTCTGATCAGTACCAGTACATGAATGGTAAAAACAAACATTCTGTTCGAAGATTGGACCCGGAGTACTGGAAGACCATACTGAGTTGTATATATGTTTTTATAGTATTTGGATTTACATCTTTCATTATGGTTATAGTCCATGAGCGAGTGCCTGACATGCAGACCTATCCACCACTCCCAGATATATTCTTAGATAGGTAAGTTTTGTTTCTAATTGCTAACTTTGTAGAAGGTTGCTATAATAATAGCAATGATATTATGTTTATCATAATTATTTGTTTTTTATTGTTGTGGTTAATGTATACTTCGCATTTGCTTTATCTGGTTAGTATAGGATTTTTTTTTGTTTTTTTTAGAAAGCAGGATTTACTGAAAGGACAGAAAAGCTCCCACAGTGGGAAGGGACCCAAGGGGGTTGCCAAAGATTCTTAAAATTAAGGTTATGGGCCGGGCGTGGTAGCTCAAGCCTGTAACCCAAGCACTTTGGGAGGCGGAGGTGAGAGGATTGCCTGAGCTCAGGGGTTTGAGACCACCCTGAACTACATAGCGAGACTTTGTCTCTACAATAAATCAAAAAATTAGCTGGGTGTGACACATACCCATGGTTCCAGCTACTTGGAAGGCTGAGGCGGAAGGATCACCTGAGCCCAGTAGGTCAACGCTGCGGTGGCAGTGAGTGTGCCACTGTTCTCCAGCTTAGGTGACAGAGTGAGACTCTGACCCAAAAAATAAGCCAACTATGGTGGTATGTTCCTGTAGTCCCAGCAGTCAGGAGGCTGAGGCAGGAGGCTTCCTTGAGCCCAGGAATTCAAGGCTGCCGTGAGCTATGATCGCGCCACCTACACTCCAGCATGGGCAACAGAGTGACACCCTGTCTCAAAAAAAAAGAGATTATGAGGCATAATAGTCTTGGTAACAACAAGGTCCAGGTTACAATCATGGGTTTGGAATGCTGTGATAAGGTAAAGGACAACTTCATAGGAAGAGAAGGAAAAGTAGAAGTGAGCAAGAACACATTACATTGGAAGTATTAAAAAGGGATAGTGAACCAGAAGCTCAAATCTTCAAGAACTGAGAGAATGGATGGCGAAGTTCTATAGTCTATAACAAGGCATAATGGGAGGGGGACGTGGTCTGGTAGAACAATGAGGATTTTATTTTAAAGTGTACGGTTCAGTGGCTTTTAGTATATTTACAAAATTGTACAACCATCACCTCTAACTCCAGAACATTTTCATCACCCCAGAAAGAAACTCATACCCATTAACAGTCCACCCCATTTCTTCCTCCTTCCACACTGTGGCAACTACTAATCTACTTCATTTCTATAAATTTATTTATTCTAGACATTTAATATAAATGGAGCCATATAATATGTGGCCTTTTTTGTGTTACTTTAGCATAATGTTTTCAAGATTAATCCATAATGTAGTGTGTATCAGTACTACATTTTTTTGTTTGTTTTTTCGGGAGTTTTTTGAGACCGGGTCTCACTCTGTCACCCAGGTTGGAGTGCAGTGGCACAACTGCAGTTCGCTGCAGTCTCAAACTCCTGGGCTCAGGCAATCCTTCTGCCCCACCCACCTGAGGAACTGGAACAGGCATGTGCCACCACACCCAACTAATTTTTTTTTTTGTAGAGATAAAGTCTTGATGTGTTGACTAGGCTGCTTTCGAACTCCTGTGCTAAAGTAAGCCTCTCCCCTCAGCCTCCCAAAATGCTGAGATTACAGGCATGAGCCACGATACCTAGCCTTCATTTTATTACCAAATAATATTCCACTGTATGGATATGCCAATTTTGTGTGTCCATTCATCAGTTGATGACTGTGTTTTCAGTTTGGGGCTATTATTAATAATAGTATTAATAATGTTATGAACATATGTGCAAAGTTTTCTGTAGACAAATTTTCGATTTGAAGTAAGAATTTGAAACAAAATTTTGCCTAACTCTTTATCTCCTTTGCCACTCACTGTAAAACTCCATGCTCTTAAGCATCTAACTCTGTTCTTAGAATGGTAGCAACACATGCTGTCAGTGTTCTTCCTATGTTCCCTTGGATCTCTTGTCCATCTTCTTATACATGGATACTCCCAACATCCAGCAAAGGCGAGTCTCTGTTAGAGGGTTGCTGGAACACACTTTGCCTGCTTGAAGAAAAAGTCAAAAAATACTTGGAAATTTACATTCCTCCAGCAGTAGTCCTTAACTTAACTCATTTCTCTTTGCCCTAATGGAGATACCATTTAGATTGAACCTATACTGTCCCAAATTCCCCATAGGACTGAGCTTAAGTTACCCCTTCCTGAGTTTCCACAGGGTTTTGCTTGATGTCTAATCCTTGGCCAACTCACACCTGTAATTCCAACACCTTGGGAAGCGGAGTTGAGAAGATTGCCTGACCCCGGGTGTTCGAGACTAGTCTGGGCAACTTGGTGAGACCTTGTGTCTACAATAAATAAAAAGGCCAGGCTCGGTGGCTCAGCCTGTAATCCCGCGCCTTTGGGAGGCTGAGGTGAGTGGATTGCCTGAGCCCGCGGGTTCGAGACCTGCCTGGGCAGCGAGATCTCATCTCTACAATAAATCAAAAAATCAGCCGGGTGTGGTGGTGCATGCCTGTAATTCCGGCTACTCGGAAGGCTGAGGCGGAAGGATCGCCGGAGCCCAGCAGGTCGAGGCTGCGGTGGCCGGGAGCAGCCACTGCACTCCAGTCTGGGCGACAGAGTGAGACTCCAACTCAAAAATAAATAGATAAATAAATAAATAAATAAAAAGAATTAACTGGGTGTGATGGTACACGCCTGTGGTTTCAACTACTTGGAAAGGCTGTGGCGGAAGGATCACCTGAGCCCAGCAGATTGAGGCTGCGGTGGCCATGAGCATGCTGCCATTGTACTGCAGCATGGGTGACAGAGTGAGACTGACACAAAGATGTCCCACTCACCCTTGTTTTGCTTCTTTGCCTTCTGATCTCATACCACACTACCCTATGTGTCTTCCTTGGGAGCATTTTCTCATAATTCATTTTCACACTGATCTTGTTTCAGTGTCTGCTTCTGAAGCTTATTTTATATAATTTCAAGAGCTTCAGCACAAAAAAAAGACAGAAATTGTGAGGAGATATGAATGATTCTAGAGGCAGGCCCACCTATAACAGTGAGAACTGATAGCTGATGACCATAATAGCAAGAGAGGAAACAGAAGCACTATAAAAAGCAAACATAAATAATGGAAAAAGACCACATCAATTTGGGGCTTAACTGGCCTTCAGTTCTCAGTAGTCTCTGAGGTCGTTACCATGTACAGTGTAATAATCAATGTTCATAGTGATGATGCTGAATTACCAAAGATAATGAAATTATATCCAGAAAAAAAGGTATATACATATATAATGTATTTTTTAAAAGCTTTGCATCAAAATAATATGAAGGATTAAGTACACATTTAACAGGTTTCTTGTTGGCTGGGCACAGTGGCTCAGCCTGTAATCCCAGCACTTTGGAAGGCCAGGGTGAGAGGACTGCCTAAGCTCAGAGGTTTGAGACCAGCCTGGGCAACTTGGTGAGACCTCATAGCTACAATAAAAATTTTTTTAAAAAGCTTAGCTGGGCATGGTAGTGCGCGCCTGTATTTCTGGCTACTTGAATGACTGAGGATCGCCTAAGCCCAGCAGGTCAAGGCTGTGTGGCCGTGAGCTATTGCACTACAGCCTGGGCAACAGAGTGAGACTCTGACTCAAAAAAAAAAAAAAACAGGTTTCTCACAACACTCCGCTAAAATGACAGTAAAAGGGGGGAAAAACTCCATAATCCAGCCAGGCTCGGTGGCTCAGTCTTGTAATCCCGCACCTTTGGGAGGCTAAGGTGAGTGGATTGCCTGAGCCCGTGGGTTCGAGAACCGCATGGGCAACTTGGCAAGACCTCATCTCTACAATAAATAAAAAATTTGCCGGACGTGGTAGCACGTGCCTGTAGTTCCAGCTACTCAGAAGGCTGAGGTGGAAGGATCACTGGAGCCCAGCAAGTCGAGGCTGCGGTGGACGGGAGCGGCCACTGTACTCCAGTCTTGGTGACAGAGTGAGACTCCAACTCAAAAAAAAAAAACAAAAAAAACTCCATAATCCCATGAAGGTAAAAACTGAAAATTACAAAAGTTTGGAAAGTAGAAAGTTAAGTGCCTGTTGTGAGATTGGAGGACACAAGTGGCAGTGCCCAAGAAGTAAGTTAATTTGTACTTCAGAGCTCCAGTATAACTTGCAAAACAGAAAGTACCAAGCATCACTCAAGGCCAGATACAGATAGGAGCTAAATATGGGAGAATTGGTTAAAAACCTATTTAAGAAACTTTTAGATCTGCTCTACTCTGACAGAAGCTGATGGTCTCTTCTCCAGAGCAGTTGAATATGAGGCACTGTGGATTCAGGGACACCGTGCCCAGATGAGGACAAAGCTGCCATATGTTTTCAATGGAATTATCTAAAAGTCTTTGTACTATTCACTGAGACTTCTGGCTCCCTTTCTTAAGTAGCCAGACTTATTTCCCATCCCTCCTCCCACCCAGCCTCAGTCCTCTAAGACAGATAACAGAGTCCTCTCTTTGGAAAACCTGGAGAAAAGGACTGTTGATGTCTGTGGTTGGGGAATATCCTTATCTAATCAACCAGTCCTCTGCCCAGTCACTATACAGTGAAACCCACAATTTGACAAAGCTCAGTCCATGCACACAGAATATCTAATTATCTTTTTTAGTACTTCACTGTTAAATATGAATGGTCAATTAAGAATAACCAAACATTTGAGAAAAACAGATCAACACAAACAAAAAAGGAAACTAGAAATCAAAATATGGAGCAGAACACATTTTTTAAAAAAGTATTCTCAGGAGAGATGAGATGTTGCATTCTGTGACACAGTAATGAGAAGCTAAAAAAAAGGTGGGAGGACAGAAAAAAAACTTTGGAAAATAAAAAATGTAAGTGGAAATTTAAAATATAGCAAGATAATTAGAACATAGCTTTGATGAAATTGCCCAGCACATAGAACAAAGAGATGAAAAATAGAGGAGAAAACATAAGATCAGTCAATCCAGTTGGCTCCACGGTCCACAAATAGGAGTTCCAGAAATATTATCTAAGATATCATACAAGGACATTTTCCAGAGCCATGGGGTATGGCTTTACAGATTGAACGAGCCCACTCAGTTCCCAGTACAAGAAATGAAAAGTGACCCATAACAAGGCCCATAATAGTGAAATTTCAGAACACTGACTATAGGCAGAGATCCTGAAAGCTTCATAAGGGACAAAACAAGTAACATACAAAGATTGGACATAAAAATAGCATCAAACTTCCTAGCAACAGTGGATGCTGGAAGATAATGGAATAATGCCTTTAACATTTTGTGAAAAGATGTCTAACTTAGAATTCTCAAAAAAGAAAAACTGTCAATTAGACATAAGACTAGACCAAGGATATTTTTTAATTTGTGAGTTTCAAAAACTTACTTTCCCTACCCTACACCTATTAGAATTGCTAAAATGAAAAAAAGAATGACAGTGCTGTTTTTTCATTTTAGCCATTGAGGATGCAGAACAACTAGTACTCTAATACGTTACTTGGTAGAAATGCAAAATGGTACAAGCGCTTTGCAAACTGTTTAATGGTTTCTTAATACGTTAAACATACACTTAAGATAGGACCTAACAGTTCCACTCTAAGAATTTACTTGAGAGATAAAATGTGTATCTATGCAAACACTTATATGTGGTCTTTATTCATAACATCCAAAACTGTAAATAACCCTGAATATCCATCAGCCAGTGGGTGGATAAAAGAATTGTGGGCAAAAAATGGGCAAAGAATTGTACATGTAATAACATAGATGAATCTCAAATGTATTATGCTGAACAAAAGTAGCTTGATACAAAGATGCCTGGATAAGTACTCTATAATTCAATTTCTATGTCATTCTGGAAGAGGCAAACCTTTAAGGGACAGAAACAGATCAGTTTCCCTAGAGCTGGTGATGAGGCAGAGGATTGACTATGAACGGACACAAAGGAGGACTTTCTGGAGTGAGGAAATCTTCTGTATCTTTATTGTGGTGGTGATTACATTACTGAGTGTTTTTCAAAACTCATTGAACTATATAGCTAAAAAGGATGAATTTTTCTGTAAGTAAATTAAATCTCAATAAATGTGACATCCGACAGGCATGGTGGCTCATGCCTGTAATCCCAGCACTTTAGGAGGCTGAGGCAGGAGGATTACTTGAGGCCAAGAGTTCGAGACCAGCCTGGCAACATAGTGAGATCATCTTTACAATATATATAAATAAAGCTATTTATTTATTAAGTAAATACATAAATAAAAAATAGGCTGGGCTCAGTGGCGCAGCCTATAATCCCGTGCCTTTGGGGAGCTGAAGTGAGTGGGTTGCCTGAGCCCGCGGGTTCGAGACCCGCCCGGGCAGCGAGACCTCATCTCTACAATAAATCAAAAAATCAGCCGGGCGTGGTAGCACATGCCTGTAATTCCAGCTACTTGGAAGGCTGAGGTGGAAGGATCGCTGGAGCCCAGCAGGTCGAGGCTGCGGTGGCCGGGAGCGGCCACTGCACTCCAGTCTGGGCAACAGAATGAGACTCCAACTCAAAAAAATAAATAAATAAAAAATAGGCCAGGTGCGGTGGATTATGCCTGTAATCCCAACACTTGAGGAGACCAAGCTGGGAGGATTACTTGAGCCCAGCAGTTCGAGATCAACCTGGACAACATAGCTCAACTTCAACCCTACAAAAAATAAAAATAAAAAATTAGCTGGGCATGATGGTGTGTGCCTGTAGTCCCAGATGCTTGAGAGGCTGAAGCAGAAGGATTGCCTGAACCTGGGAGGGCAAGACTGTGGTAAGCCATGATTGTGCCACTGCACTTCAGCCCAGGTGACAGAGTGAGACTCTGATTCATTCAGACATTCAAGACAAGTTCATCCTCCACCCTCTTGTTCTCTGAAACAACTGAAGGATATGCACCATCAAAACTAAACTGAGAAGAGGAGGATGTGACATTCAGGAAACAGACTCCAATATAGAAAAAGGGGAATTGCAGCCATGTGTAATGCAATATAATCCCAGCACTTTGGAGACCAAAGTGGGAGGATTGCTTGAGCCCAGGAGTTTAAGACCAGCCTGGGCAATATAGTGAGACTTTATCTCTATTAAAAAAATAAGCCAAGCCTGGTGGCAACATGCCTGTAATCCCAGCTATTTGGGAAGCTGAGGTGGGAGGATTGCTTGAGCCTAGAAGTTTGAGACTGTGTAGAGCCATGATCATGCCGCTGCATTCCAACCTCAATGACAAGAGTTAGACCCTGACTTAGAAAGGGAAGGAGGGAAGCTGGACTCGGTGGCTCAGCCTGTAATCCCATGCCTTTGGGAGGCTGAGGTGAGTGGATTGCCTGAGCCTGCGGGTTTGAGACCCGCCTGGGCAACTTGGTGAGACCTCATCTCTACAATAAATTTAAAAAATCATCCGGGCCTTGTAGCGCGCGCCTGTAATTCCAGCTAATTGGAAGGCTGAGGTGAAAGGATCACCGGGGCCCAGCAGGTTGAGGCTGCGGTGGCCGGGAGCGGCCACTGCACTCCAGTCTGGGCAACAGAGTGAGACTCCAACTCAAAAAAAAAGGGAGGGAAGGAGGAAGTAAGGAAGGAAGGAAAGACAAGGAATTGCCAAGGTGAGAGTTATTTTATTCCAAGAAATGGCCATTCAGGAAGACTAGAAAATTCTCTCTTATTTTAAATTAGAATAAGAGAGAAAGGGGCTCTAGAAAAAATTTCCCCCCAAGAAAAAATTGAAATTGATAGAAAAGTTTGGAGATGAATTGGTAATAAGCACACAGGAAAGGGAGCAAACTAAAAAAAAATTTATTGGTGCTAGAGAATCATAGGAAGTTGAGCACGAAAGGAATTTAATCATAGTTCTCTGCTGACTTAGCTACAAATGATTTTTTTTTTAATTTGAAGCCTCACTCTGTCACCCAGACTGGAATGCAGTAGCATACTCAGGGCCGCCACAGCCTTGACTGCTGGGCTTAGGTGATCCTTGACCGCTGGGCTCAGGCTTCAGCCTTCCAAGTAGCTGGAACTACAGGCATGTGCCACCATGCTGGGCTAGCTACGAATGAATTTTATAAACTGACATTAAGTAAAAGCCAAAAACTATTTTAAACAAAATTGTGAAGTAATAAGTGTACAACAGAAGGCAGAGAGAAAAAGAGACTTAGTATGTACATGTGTGTGTTGGGACAGTGTAACTGAAAGATTTATTGACACATGAAACAGCTAGAAGAGTAAAAATGATTGCCCCTGAGGAACAAGAATTAGGTTTGGTTTGGGAATAGGGGTACAACATTTATTTTTATTGCAAGCGATATAAAAGTATTTTAACTAAGTATATACAGTATAGTTATGTGCAAGTTATAATTCTTTCCCCAGTAATATCAGATAAATAAGGCAGCAATAGGTTAAAAATACATGAGTTGTTTTTTGATATAAAATCAAAAGATGATTAAATCTCCTCAGTTACTCTGAGTAAGGTTTGGAGTAGACTGCTAACTCTTTTTTTTTCTTTCATATTTCATGTTTCTTTTAAAAAAAATACCTTTATTTCCTTAGTTATAAATTATCATATATCACTGTATAAAAGTTTTTAGTGGAAACGTACAAAGAATAAAAATAAAACCATCAGTAATCCTGCCACCCATCAATGACTTTATTTGCACTGTTTCATTTCCATCTCCCTCCCTTCCACTCTCCTTTTCTCCATCTCGTCCTCTCTTTAAATTAAATGGGACCTTTTATTTGTGAGTAATCATAGGAACTGTGGATTTGGTGATAAGAAAAGAGGGACAAATGAAAAAGATAGAAGAAAACGGTTACAAAACAAAGGAGGACAGAGAGAACGAAGTAAAACAAAACTCTACTGCTCCTAAAACAAAGCTAAATGTATATTTTTTTAAAAAAAGAGTCAAGTTCAAGTCTTGTTTGTCTGGATTCTGGAATGAGCATATATATCATGCAGAAATGAGTCTTTCTCCCATTGTCTTTATGGGCAGTCTTGGATTCAGATCTGCTATGCTGTGGGAGAAAAGTGTTGTCATTTATTTACAGTGAACCATGACTGAGAATCACAGACAACAAACACATTTTGATAAATGGAGTACATCATGAAACAGATTTTTTCTAGAGGCTCTTCCCAAATATCATCTTTCATAAGAGGTAAAAGTTATATAAATCAATTTTAAAGTCATTATTAGAAGAGTATCTTGTTGAAAAAGGAGGCATCATTTACATGCATCTGCATCTCTTCAGTCCAAAACTAAATTTTTTTCTGTTCCAGCGTTCCTAGAATCCCATGGGCCTTTGCTATGACAGAAGTATGTGGCATGATTCTGTGCTATATTTGGCTCCTGGTTCTTCTTCTTCACAAGCACAGGTACCTCACTTATTCCATTAAAAGACTGAAAATGTTTTTACTCTCTTGTTTCAAGGTCATCAAATCTTGTCAATTTCCTTGTTTGTTTTCCTCTCTGGTATTGACAAAGAAAAATGTTTTGGGTATGATCCTCAAAAAAGACACCTAAAATAATACATACTTGTTTAGTAATCTTCTGAATGTATTTTGCAAACAAAGATCTCAGAGATCTGAGATAGGTGATCAGCCACGGGCCAGCCATCCAGTCTAGCCTTATCTTTCTTTAGAAACAAGCCAGAAATGTCCCTTTCTCTTAAAGAAGGATAGAAGCTCCTCCAAGGACAGCCTCTGGTCAGATGTTTAAATGGAAAAAAATTGCTCTCTGGTTGGGGGAGGTTCATTTAAAAAGATTATTTTAGCCGGGCTCAGTGGCTCAGCCTGTAATCCCGCGCCTTTGGGAGGCTGAGGTGAGTGGATTGCCTGAGCCCGCGGGTTCAAGACCCGCCCAGGCAGCGAGACCTCATCTCTACAATAAATAAAAAAAAAATCAGCCGGGTGTGGTAGCGCATGCCTGTAATTCCGGCTACTTGGAACGCTGAGGCGGAAGGATCGCCAGAGCCCAGCAGGTCGAGGCTGCGGTGGCCGGGAGCAGCCACTGCACTCCAGTCTAGGCAACAGAGTGAGACTCCAACTCAAAAATAAATAAATAAGTAAATAAATAAATAAAAATTAAAAGATTATTTTGCACAACATGCACATCTGTCCTGTGATATTTACTTCAGATGGTATAGGAAGTTGCTAAATGGGGAAAGTACTTCTTTGTACTTTCACCAGAAATTATAGAGGAAAGAATTTTTATATAAAGAAAGCATAGCGTTTCAGCCAGAACTGCCATCTTCCAGTAATTCACCAAAATGACGAACAAAAGGGAAAGAGGAGGAGCACTCCGTACATGTTCTCCAGGCCGTTTAGAAAACATGGAGTTTTTCCTTTGCCCATGTACATGCAAATCTACAAAAAGGTGGAATTGTAGACATCAAGGGAATGGGTACTGTTCAGAAATGAATGCCCCACAAATGTTACCATGGCAAGACAGGAAGAGTCTATAATGTTACCCAGCATGCTGTTGGCGTTGTTGTTAACAAACAAGTCAAGGACAAGATTCTGGCCAAGAGAATTAATGTGTGTTTTGAGCATATTAAGCCCTCGGAGTCAAGATAGCTTCCTGAAAACCGTGAAGGAAAATAACCAGAAAAAGAAGGAAGCCAAAGAGAAAGGCACCTGCGTTCAGCTGAAGCACCAACCTGCTCCTCTCAGAGAAGCACACTTCGTGAGAACCAACAGAAAGCAGCCGGAGCTGCTGGAAACTATTCCCCTATGAATTCATGGCTTAATAGGTGTCAAACTTGATCTCTGGACCATTAAAAAAAAAAGAAGCAGGCCGGGTTCGGTGGCTCAGCCTGTAATCCCAGCACTTTGGGAGGCCGAGGTGAGTGGATTGTCTGAGCCCGCGGGTTCGAGACCTGCCTGGGCAACTTGACGAGACCTCATCTCTACAACAAATCAAAAAATTAGCCGGGTGTGGTAGCACGCACCTGTAGTTCCAGCTACTTGGAAGGCTGAGGCGGAAGGATCACCCGAGCCCAGCAGGTCCAGGCTGCGGTGGCTGGAAGCGGCCACTGCACTCCAGTCTGGGCGACAGAATGAGACTCCAACTCAAAAAAAAAAAAAAAAAAAAAGCCAGGCTCGGTGGCTCAGCCTGTAATCCTGCGCCTTTGGGAGGCGGAGGTGAGTGGATTGCCTGAGCCCGTGGGTTCGAGACCCGCCTGGGCAGGCGAGACCTCATCTCTATAATAAATCAAAAATTAGCAGGGCATGGTAGCGCACGCCTGTAGTTCCAGCTACTCAGAAGGCTGAGGTGGAAGGATTGCCGGAGCCCAGCAGGTCGAGGCTGCGTTGGCCGGGAGCGGCCACTGTACTCCATTCCAGACGACAGAGTGAGACTCCAACTCAAAAAAAAAAAACAAACAAACATAAAAGGGGGCTTCTTTTCTACTCTAATGGGGGTAAATTACTTGATTTAAGTAAAAAGTAAGGCATAGTGAGGAAAAAACTTGAAGATAAAATGTGTAGATATCTTCATTCTTTTGGGAACAGTGGAGAGAAGGCACTTTATTGAGTTTTGATCTTTTCTTCTCACTAAGTGCTTGAGGTAAACCACAGTGATGAGCTTTATGTCCTATGCAGCAGTTATTTCAGTGCTTTGAAGGTGAAAAGAAAGGTTAATGATTGCTATTCTTGTCACACTTTTAGGCCATATTTAGCCTCATTTTGTCCTGTTTTGCAACAGCATTTTAAATTCTGGATTGCTTAAAGCCAGAGGTGGTTTTAAAACATTTATATCACTGATGCTTTCTAGTTAACTTTTCCTCACAAGATTACATGGATTTGAATTTATCTACTCTTCAAAACAGAAATTTCCCTAAACTGGTCTTAAACTTGTGGGTTCAAGTAATCCTCCTGCCTCAGCCTCCCAAAGTGTAAATGCAAGTGTTAATGTTTACTTAGTCAAATAAAGAATTGTCACAGCCCATGGGTTCTAGACCAGCCTGAGCAACATGGTGAGACCTTGTTTCTACAATAAGTAAAAAAAAAAAAGTAGCTGTGTGTGGTGGCGCACACCGGTAATTCTAGCTACTTGGAAGGCTGATGTGGAAGGATAGCCTGAGCCCAGACGGTTAAGGCTGTGGTGGCCCTGAATGTGCCACTGTACTCCAGCCTGGGCAACAGAGTGAGACTCCTACTCAAAAAAAAAAAAAAAAAAAAGCAATAACAGTACAAGTGATGTCACAGTGCAGTTCATGATTATCCAAATAACAGTTATTCAGCCAGGCTCGGTGTCTCAGCCTGTAATCCCCTGCTTTGGGAGGCTGAGGTGAGTGGATTGCCTGAGACCGTGGGTTTGAGACCCGCCTGGGCAACTTGGTGAGACCTCATCTCTACAATAAATTTAAAAATTAGCTGGGAGCCGGGCTTGGTGGCTCAGCCTGTAATCCTGCGCCTTTGGGAGGCTGAGGTGAATGGATTTGCCTGAGCCCGCGGGTTCGAGATCTGCCTGGGCAACTTGGCGAGACCTCATCTCTACAATAAATTTAAAAATCAGCTGGGAGCTGGGCTCAGTGGCTCAGCCTGTAATCCTGTGCCTTTGGGAGGCTGAGGTGAGTGGATTGCCTGAGCCCGCGGGTTCGAGACCCG